CTTCAAGTTAGAAAAATTCAGATTCAGAAAGGATATAGGAAAGCACTGGTTTGGTAATAGATTTGTGGATGAGTGGAACAAACTCCCGAGTACAGTTATAGAGGCTGGGTGGTGTGGGTGGGTTTGAGTTTGACCTGACTAGCTGTGCTACTAGGTCTGATGCCATGCTCCTTCCTTAAGTGGAAGTGACCTGACTAGGTGGGTCATTGGGCTAATCCGGGGGGGAGGGGACATGGACCTGCTCCGTGTGGGTCGGTGGGCCTGCTGCGGTGTTCCTTCTTTCTTGTGTTCTTATGAGTGGGTGTGAGTGGGTGTGGGTGGGTGTGAAATGGACCTGACTAGCTACTAGGTCAGACGAAGTGCTGGTCCCTTAAGTGACGTGTCTGACCTCACTAGGTCAAGCATTGGCTTAAGTCGGTGGGGAGAATTGGAGCTGCCTCGCATTGTCCAGTAGACCTGTTGAGGTGTTCCTTATTTCTGATGTTCTTATGAGGGTAAATATTCTATTAGTGGGATGGATCTGTGAAGGACCTGCCTAGTATGGGCCAACAGGCCTGCTGCAGCGTTCCTCTTTATGTTCTTATCACTGACATACTGACATGACACATCACTGACATACTGACATGACACATCACTGACATACTGACATGACACATCACTGACATACTGACATGACACATCACTGACATACTGACATGACACATCACTGACATACTGACATGACACATCACTGACATACTGACATGACACATCACTGACATACTGACATGACACATCACTGACATACTGACATGACACATCACTGACATATTGACATGACACATCACTGACATACTGACATGACACATCACTGACATACTGACATGACACAGCACTGACATACTGACATGACACATCACTGACATACTGACATGACACATCACTGACATATCACTGACATGACACATCACTGACATACTGACATCACTGACATACTGACATGACACATCACTGACATACTGACATGACACATCACTGACATGTTGGTAGGTAAGACATATAGGCAACAGTTAGGCAACTTTATTCCGAAACGTTTCGCCTACACAGTAGGCTTCTTCAGTCGAATACAGAAAGTAGGCAGGAACAGTAGAGATGTGAAGACGATGTAATCAGTCCATCACCCTTGAAGTCGTAGAATTTGAGGTTGTCAGTCCCTCAGCCTCGAGAAGTTCAGTTCCATAGTTCCTCAACCTAGGAGTAGGTGCAAAGAGCACCATAGTCGTGGAGATTCTGAAGCAGAAGCAAGGAGCCTGGCGCTTATATAGCAACGTCAGGTGAAGCAGATGAGGGCATAGTCACTGTTAGTTAGTTTAATATGTTTATTATGCACCCCATACCCATCCTGTGGGCGGTTCTACATTATTTAACTTATAAGTGCTAGGGTTATGGACACTCCCGAGCTTCAGAACCTTGCATTTATCTACATTGAACTGCATCTGCCACTTTTCTGACCAACAGTAGAGTTTGTCTAAATCCTCCTGAAGTTCCCTAACATCTACGTTTGAATCAATTATCCTACCTATCTTCGTGTCATCGGCGAATTTGCTCATATCACTAGTAATTCCCTCATCAAGATCATTGATATATATTATAAACAACAACGGGCCCAAGACTGATCCCTGTGGAACGCCACTTGTTACTGATCCCCACTCGGATTAACCCCATTTATGGACACTCTCTGCTTCCTGTCTGTGAGCCATGATTCGATCCACGAGAGCACCCTTCCCCCAATGCCATGAGCTGCTACTTTCTTCAACAGTCTTTGGTGCGGAACTCTATCAAATGCCTTACTAAAATCTAAGTAAATAATATCAAATTCTTTATCGTGGTCAACAGTCTCAAAAGCTTTACTGAAGAAAGTTAATAAATTAGTTAGACAAGACCGGCCTCTTGTGAATCCATGCTGAGTATCATTAATCAAGCTATGCTTATCGAGATGGCTTCTTATAATCTCAGCTATAATTGACTCTAGTAATTTGCCTACAATTGAGGTCAGGCTTATTGGGCGGTAATTTGACGGTAACGACTTGTCCCCTGTTTTAAAAATAGGAATTACATTAGCCATCTTCCACATATCAGACACTACACCTGTTTGAAGAGATAAATTAAAAATATTAGTTAATGGTTCACAGACTTCCATTTTGCATTCCTTTAGAACCCTTGAAAAAACCTCATCAGGACCCGGTGACTTATTTTGCTTCAGTCAGTCTATCTGCTTCACAACCATTTCACTAGTGACTGTGATGTTACATAATTTATCTTCCTCTGGCCCACTATAAAAATTGATTACCGGAATATTATTAGTGTCTTCCTGTGTAAAAACCGAGAGAAAATAATTATTTAAAATCGAGCACATTTCATTCTCTTTGTCAGTAAGATGCCCATAGTTATTTTTAAGGGGACCTATCTTGTCTCTGACTTTTGTTCTATATACCTGGAAAAAACTTTTTGGGTAGTTTTAGAATCCCTAGCAACTTTAATTTCATAGTCCCTTTTAGCTTTTCTTATCCCCTTTTTAATGTCCCTCTTAATGTCAATATACTGATTCATAAGATGAACCTCGCCTCTTTTGATATGCCTATAAATTCCTTTCTTATGGCCTAGTAGATATTTCAGCCTATTATTCATCCATTTTGGGTCATTTCTATTTGATCTAATTTCTTTATAAGGGATAAACGTTCTTTGAGCAGCATGTATTGTGTTCAGAAAACTGTCATATTGATAGCTCTCTTCGTTACCCCAGTCAACAGATGATAAGTGTTCTCTAAGCCCATCGTAATCTGCTAAGCGAAAATCTGGGACTGTTACTGAGTTATCCCTACTATCATACTTCCATTCAATTGTAAATGTAATTGATTTGTGGTCGCTAGCACCCAGTTCCTCTGAAACTTCTAAATTATTAACAAGGGATTCATTGTTTTCCAGAACTAAGTCAAGCAGGTTATTACCCCTTGTAGGTTCTGTCACAAACTGCTTCAGAAAACAATCCTGAACTACTTCTAAGAAGTCGTATGATTCTAAATTCCCAGTCAAGAAATTCCAATCAATATGACTAAAGTTAAAGTCTCCTAGAATTACTACATTATCGTGCCTTGTGGCCCTAACAATTTCCTCCCATAGTAGTCTCCCCTGGTCCCTATCTAAATTTGGGGGACGGTATATCACACCTAAAATTAATTTTTCAGGCCCCTCTGAAAATTCTATCCAAACAGACTCTGTATGTGTTACTTCAGACTTAATACCCGTTTTTATGCAACAGTTCAAGCGATCTCGGACATACAATGCCACCCCACCCCCCTTCCCGATACTTCGGGGCAGGCATGCCCCGACTTTTTGAATTAAACCACGTCTCAGTAATGGCAAATACATCTATGTTACCTGCACTAGCAACTAGTCTCAACTCGTCCATCTTATTCCTAGCACTGCGACTATTTGTGTAATAAATACTTAAAGACCCTCCTCTCTCTTTACCCTTCCTGCTCCTTTCTGTTATTCCACTAAACCTATTACTGTCCTTGTCAATTAGTGCCACTGGCTTTCCAATATCCACCTCATTTTGCCTATTACTAGTTCTCCTAGTACTCATGTTTCTACCCTGAGACTTCACAGTTTTCCCGCAAAAACCCATACCACTAACTATTCCTAGTTTAAAGACCTAACAGCTCCCTCCACTGCGTTGGCCAGTGCTCCCACCCCACACCTAGATAAGTGAACCCCATCCCTGGCATACATGTCATTTCTGCCATAGAAGAGGTCCCAGTTGTCAATGAATGTTACCGCATTTTCCTTACAGTATTTGTCCAGCCAGAAATTGACACCAATTGCTCTGGACAACCATTCATTTCCAACTCCTCTCCTTGGCAAAATGCCACATATGACAGGTTTCCCACCCTTCCTCCTAATTATCTCTATTGCTGACCTATACCTGCTAATCAGGTCCTCACTCCTACGTCTGCCAACATCGTTGCCTCCAGCACTGAGTTGCAGGCAGGTCACTAATAACGATTGAATATTGCAGGAATTAAGGCTCCCAGTTGCACATGGTTCTGAGGGCAAGTCCAGAGGGACTAAGCTTAGGGAGGTTGAAGACCAGAATAGATTCTACATCACCAAGTAAGTTAGTCCTTTAAACGTGCATGCAGGCGAGATTTCTTGCAACATCAGTCATTTATGAAAATCTGTCCTATAAGCCACTTGTGAGGCTGAGGTACCGACCTCAGAGCTCGGTGTCAACAGAGCTTGCCAGGGTAGGCGACTCACTTGGAGGCAGTCCAGACAAATTTTCACAAGGTAAACAGACCATAGCTGACATCAGTGACATACTACTATACAGAAAGCCGCTTGTTATGCTGAGCATTTCCCACAAATTAGGTCAGTTTTGTCCCAGGATATGACCCACACCAGTCCACTAACACCTAGGATGCGCCCCACACCAGTCCACTAACACCCAGGATGTGCCCCACACCAGTCCACTAACACCCAGGATGCGCCCCACACCAGTCCACTAACACCCAGGATGCGCCCCACACCAGTCCACTAACACCCAGGATGCGACCCACACCAGTCCAGTAACACCCAGGATGTGACCCACACCAGTCCACTAACACCCAGGATGCGACCCACACCAGTCCACTAACACCCAGATACCAGTTTTACTGATGAGTGAACATAGACAACAAGTGTAAAGAAACACGACCAATGTTTCTACCCTGGCTGGGAATCGAACCCAGATCCTCGTCATATGAAACGAGAGCTTTAGCCATCAGGCGAAAAAAAAAATTACTTACGGAAAGCCAAGATATTTTTTTTTTACCATTTTGTAGTTATTAATAAAATAGTTGGTCTGCCAGACGTAACTTACAACACTGTTTAGATCATAAATAACTTTAATATTTTAGTAGTGAAGGTTATACAGTATAATAATAGTGTCGTAACTAAGAAGAGTGAGCTCCGCCACGTACCTTAATATCCCAGTTTAAGAGAGGAACCTAAGTCAAGGTGACTGATGGTGACTCATTAGTCACTTCCTGCTACCTCACTTCTGATGTTCCTTTATATTTTCTGTGTGAAATTCACTGATAAGTCACAGCATATATATAGTATTACAGTGGCAGTAGTGTACAGTGTCAGCAGCGTTAGTAGCATCAGCAGCGTCAGTAGTTGCTGTGACTGACACACACTGGACCACAGACCTTCCTGCCAGGCATGACGCACCATACTTGCCAAGTAACACCAGTATTCCTCTACATTTTCTCTCAGTACGATTCACATTTACATTTTCACCTCTTTTCCAATAATAAACATCAAATCTCATAGATAATATTGTAAAACATAATTTGTATACTGTACATGTATTATAATCTGAAGTATAAATTGATAGATATGACAGACAACGTTGCATGAGAGTGGACGTGTCCGGGACACGTTGCCAGACAGACATTATCACACTAACATAAACACAATATAATACACGTATATTACTGTTATAATGGCAGGTGTTGCAATATACGTAAGATATACCAAGTTACAGAACGGATTATGAACTAACCTGAGGGAAAATATGCAGTAATTGTTTAAGTTGGTATATCTATGTATAATTGTAGGGAGTATTAATTGTGGTATATCTGTAACAATGTGGATGATTATGGTGAACATCAAAATGGTATACAATACCGACAGGTTGGTAGGTAAGACACATAGGCAACAGTTAGGCAACTTTTATTCCGAAACATTTCGCCCACACAGTAGGCTTCTTCAGTCGAATACAGAAAGTAGGCAGGAACAGTAGAAATGTGAAGACGATGTAATCAGTCCATCACCCTGGAACTGAACTTTTCGAGGCTGAGGGACTGACAACCTCAAATTCTACGACTTCAAGGGTGATGGACTGATTACATCGTCTTCACATCTCTACTGTTCCTGCCTACTTTCTGTATTCGACTGAAGAAGCTACTGTGTAGGCGAAAACGTTTCGGAATAAAGTTGCCTAACTGTTGCCTATGGATGATTATATTTAGCATACTTCAGAATATACGTGTTTAGTTTCAAATATGTGTAAACATATGCAGTGAATGTTCAGTTTGGAATATATGTGAACACATGCATAAGTAAGCTTATTCAGGTACAGGTATACATAAATACACTTACGCAAATTATTATACGTAGTAACATATATGTAAATTACCCAGGATAACCCAAAGTGACTTATTACCACTGGAGAATACCGGCGAATAAAAAAAAAAAAATACCACTGAAAATAATGCCTGAGCTTGCTAAAATCTGCAGCTCATAAGACTGCCATCCCCACGAGCCCTTTTAGGGCGGGGCAGATGGCAGACCAGAGGCCTAGCTTCTCCCTACGAGCCCCGTGAGGGCGGGGACTGTGGCTAGGCCTGGGGACAGTTGGTCCCAAAGATGAGGGGGTACTTGTACCTCCTCCCATGGGGGACTTAAGTCTCGAGACACTCCCCAGATAGGGAGCCAAGGCCGGGTCACCACTACTTGGAAAAGACCCGGGCCGGGAGAATACCGGTGAATAAAAAAAAAAAAAAAAAAAAAATACCACTGAATATATTGGTAATAATGTCTGTTTACCTGGAGAGAGTTCCGGGGGTCAACGCCCCCGCGGCCCGGTCTGTGACCAGGCCTCCTGGTGGATCAGAGCCTGATCAACCAGGCTGTTGCTGCTGGCTGCACGCAAACCAACGTACGAGCCACAGCCCGGCTGATCAGGAACTGACTTTAGGTGCTTGTCCAGTGCCAGCTTGAAGACTGCCAGGGGTCTGTTGGTAATCCCCCTTATGTATGCTAGGAGGCAGTTGAACAGTCTCGGGCCCCTTACACTTATTGTATGGTCTCTTAACGTGCTAGTGACACCCCTGCTTTTCATTGGGGGGATGTTGCATCGTCTGCCAAGTCTTTTGCTTTCATAGTGAGTGATTTTCATGTGCAAGTTCGGTACTAGTCCCTCTAGGATTTTCCAGGTGTATATAATCATGTATCTCTCCCTCCTGCGTTCCAGGGAATACAGGTTCAGGAACCTCAAGCGCTCCCAGTAATTGAGGTGTTTTATCTCCATTATGCGCGCCGTGAAGGTTCTCTGTACATTTTCTAGGTCAGCAATTTCACCTGCCTTGAAAGGTGCTGTCAGTGTGCAGCAATATTCCAGCCTAGATAGAACAAGTGACTTGAAGAGTGTCACCATGGGCTTGGCCTCCCTCGGAGGATCTCACCTTCAAGGACCATAACATTGTATCAATCGCATCTGCTAGAAAAATGACAGGATGGATAATGAGAACCTTCAAAACTAGGGAGGCCAAGCCCATGATGACACTCTTCAGGTCACTTGTTCTATCTAGGCTGGAATATTGCTGCACACTAACAGCACCTTTCAAGGCAGGTGAAATTGCCGACCTAGAAAATGTACAGAGAACTTTCACAGCGCGCATAACGGAGATAAAACACCTCAATTACTGGGAGCGCTTGAGGTTCCTAAACCTGTATTCCCTGAAATGCAGGAGGGAGAGATACATGATTATATACACCTGGAAAATCCTAGAGGGACTAGTACCGAACTTGCACACGAAAATCACTCACTACGATAGCAAAAGACTTGGCAGACGATGCACCATCCCCCCAATGAAAAGCAGGGGTGTCACTAGCACGTTAAGAGACCATACAATAAGTGTCAGGGGCCCGAGACTGTTCAACTGCCTCCCAGCACACATAAGGGGGATTACCAACAGACCCCTGGCAGTCTTCAAGCTGGCACTGGACAAGCACCTAAAGTTAGTTCCTGATCAGCCGGGCTGTGGCTCGTACGTTGGTTTGCGTGCAGCCAGCAGCAACAGCCTGGTTGATCAGGCTCTGATCCACCAGGAGGCCTGGTCACAGACCGGGCCGCGGGGGCGTTGACCCCCGGAACTCTCTCCAGGTAAACTCCAGGTTATCCATCCTGTCATTTTTCTAGCAGATGCGATTGATACAATGTTATGGTCCTTGAAGGTGAGATCCTCCGACATGATCACTCCCAGGTCTTTGACGTTGGTGTTTCGCTCTATTTTGTGGCTGGAATTTGTTTTGTACTCTGATTAAGATTTAATTTCCTCGTGTTTACCATATCTGCGTAATTGAAATTTCTCATCGTTGAACTTCATATTGTTTTCTGCAGCCCACTGAAATATTTGGTTGATGTCCGCCTGGAGTCTTGCAGTGTCTGCAATGGAAGACACTGTCATGCAGATTCGGGTGTCATCTGCAAAGGAAGACACGGTGCTGTGGCTGCCATCCTTGTCTATGTCGGATATGAGGATGAGGAACAAGATGGGAGCTAGTACTGTGCCTTGTGGAACAGAGCTTTTCACCGTAGCTGCCTCGGACTTTACTCTGTTGACGACTACTCTCTGTGTTCTGTTAGTGAGGAAATTATAGATCCATCGACCGACTTTTCCTGTTATTCCTTTAGGACGCATTTTGTGCGCTATTACGCCATGGTCACACTTGTCGAAGGCTTTTGCAAAGTCTGTATATATTACATCTGCATTCTGTGAACACATGCTGGCTGGCACAGCTCTCGCTTCACACGCGCAAGGCCCGGGTTCGATTCCCGGCAAGGGTGGAAACATTCGACGAGCTTCCTTACACCTGTCGTCTTGTTCACCTAAGAAGTAGGTACCTGGGTGCTAGTAGACAGGTGTGGGTGGCATCCTGGGGGACAAAATTAAGGACCACAATGGAAATAAGACAGACAGTAGACGATGACGGCGGGTGGAAACATTCGACACGTTTCCTTACACCTGTTGTCCTGTTCACCTAGCAGCAAATAGGTACCTGGGTGTTAGTCGACTGGTGTGGGTCGCATCCTGGGGGACAAGATTAAGGACCCCAATGGAAATAAGTTAGACAGTCCTCGATGACGCACTGACTTTCTTGGGTTATCCTGGGTGGCTAACCCTCCGGGGTTAAAAATCCGAACGAAATCTTATCTTATCTTATCTTCATCAAGAACTGCAAGAAGCCCCTATAACGAGTCTTTTCCATCCTATGGAGAGGGAGCATGGACAAGGGGGTCGTCCCACAGTCACTAAAAACAACAGACATAGCCCCATTCCACAAAGGGGGCAGTAAAGCAACAGCAAAGAACTACAGACCGATAGCACTAACATCCCATATCATAAAATCTTTGAAAGGGTCCTAAGAAGCGAGATCACCACCCATTTATAAACCCATCAGTTACACAACCCAGGGCAACATGGGTTTAGAACAGGTCGCTCCAGTCTGTCTCAACTATTGGATCACTACGACAAGGTCCTAGATGCACTAGAAGACAAAAAGAATGCAGATGTAACATATACACACTTTGCAAAAGCCTTCGACAAGTGTGACCATGGCGTAATAGCGCACAAAATGCGTGCTAAAGGAATAACAGGAAAAGTCGGTCGATGGATCTATGATTTCCTCACTAACAGAACACAGAGAGTAGTCGTCAGCAGAGTAAAGTCCGAGGCAGCTACGGTGAAAAGCTCTGTTCCACAAGGCACAGTACTAGCTCCCATCTTGTTCCTCATCCTCATATCCGACATAGACAAGGATGTCAGCCACAGCACCGTGTCTTCCTTTGCAGATGACACCCGAAACTGCATGACAGTGTCTTCCATTGCAGACACTGCAAGGCTCCAGGCGGACATCAACCAAATCTTTCAGTGGGCTGCAGAAAACAATATGAAGTTCAACGATCAGAAATTTCAATTACTCAGATATGGTAAACACGAGGAAATTAAATCTTCATCAGATTACAAAACAAATTCTGGCCACAAAATAGAGCGAAACACCAACGTCAAAGACCTGGGAGTGATCATGTCGGAGGATCTCACCTTCAAGGACCATAACATTGTATCAATCGCATCTGCTAGAAAAATGACAGGATGGATAATGAGAACCTTCAAACTAGGGAGGCCAAGCCCATGATGACACTCTTCAGATCACTTGTTCTATCTAGGCTGGAATATTGCTGCACACTAACAGCACCTTTCAAGGCAGGTGAAATTGGACCTAAAAAAAGTCAAAACCCTTTCAAGGCGCGAAAAAAAGGAGTAAAACCGCAATTATGGAGCGCTTGAGGTTCCAAAACCTTTTTCCCCTGGAACGCGGGGGAGAGATACGTTATAACACCGGGAAAAACCCCTAGGG